TTGCTTCATGCAAACTTCCTCATGCAGACATTATATCCAGTAATGTCATCTGCTGATGGATACCAGAGCAAAATATTCTCATGTCCCTAAATTAAGCATCCCATTCCTATATTACTAACGGTCACTATTATGATCTATTTTAAATAAACCATTACAATGTATAGAGGTCTGTACAAATAAAATCTAGGTTGTCCCCTGTAAACACTGATCAGAGGCAATGAAATCAGGACCAACTTCCCTTTCTAAACACTTTGGTTTTGCTGTTTGTGGGAAAGAGCTCTCTGGTGTGTCCCGAGAAAGGGACGTGGGTGCTATGGAGGTGAGAAGAGGTGACTCACGCTCCCTAGCTGTGGTCCCACGTGGCAGATGGTAACATGGCTTTGAGGGGGCAGGGATGACATTTGGAAGGACAATGAGGCACATACTTCACAGACCAAATAGGACTTCTACAGTTTAGTGATTTATTTATTTATTTATTTTTTTGTAGCCCGAAAGACACAATGTTGCTTTAGACCTCGCAGTCCCAAGGGCAGGACAGAAGTTAACTCCGCAGATCTGCGCTGTGACGTGCAATTAATGCTCTATGAGGCGTTTGCCAGAAAAGAGTTCCATGGTCATCAGTTAAAACACTGATGATCATTTCAATTACCAGCTCATTTCTAGATCTGGGAATGTACTTTATTTTGTAAGTATGATTACATTCCTTTCCGAGGCCTCGTCTGAGCTGAAAGCAGAAATCTTTGGCCCTTGACTGCTCAACAGGCGCCTTCTGCTCTCGGAAAACAGAAAGAGGAGGGACCCACTGGGCAGGAGAATAGGACTTTTCAGGAGTTTGTCTAAAAGAGGAGCCATTTTTAAGGGGGATGTGGAGACACGTTAGCGTACAGCTGTCCTGGACATGTGTGAGCGGCTTTGTCACATGTCATCAAGAAGGGGTCACTGAGGTCACTTTTTAAATGAAGCCATCAAGTTACAAAAAAGACTTTCAAGTAAGCGCCACACAAAGAAATCTAAAAGGCGTGCGATTTCAGCTCTTTGATCTGTTAGACCAGCGTGGCCGCAGCTGGTCCAAACGGCCGAGGCGTGGGCAGGGCAGACCTCTGGAGAGGCGTGGGGAGCGAGGTCAAGCCTCCGAACTAACCCCACACCCAGCAAGTCCAACGCCTTCCCAGGAGAAGGACGAAGGGCCCGCGAGGTTGTGTCAGCTCCGTTTCCGAATGGCCTGGCTGTTTTACTTCGGTGTGTTCAGAGCCAGGAATGAACCGCCCTGAGAGCCGTCCCAGAGGCCGGGCGAGGAACGTCTCTCCAAGAAAATAGCACCGTGGCCTGGAGAGGTCCTCTGTGCGCGCGTGGCGGCGGCGGTGCAGGTTCATTCATAGGGACAGGACGGTTCCCGCTCCCACGGGATCCGGTGCAGCAGCAGCTAAGGCTAAGGCGCGTTTCCTCCAGTGAGGGAGTGGGCTTGAAGGTCACGGCTGTGCGAAGTCCTGAGCCCAGCGATCCCTGTGGGCCAGCTGCGGGGCCAGCTCAGTGAGGACGGAGGGCCGGGCGTCCTCCACAGCCTTAACTCCCACATTTGCTTCCTTCTGAAAACCACACGTGGGCCCAGGGGGTGCGCGTTAGAACGGGCAGAGGTGAGGCAGGGACAGGGCACTGACTACAGGCCGCTTCCAGACCAATCTCCGCGGCTCTCTAAGTGAGGCGCCCTCGCTGTACATCTTTTTTTCTTTCTTCCTTTTTTTTTTTTTTTTCGGTTGATTTATATTGTAATTAGGGCAGGGGAGAATCACAGCCAAGGCCAGAAGTGGGAACGTGGCACACATTTTTCATGGAAAGTTTTCCCCCATAAGTCAGAGCACAAGACGGTATTAGAGGGAAAAAAAAAAAAAACATGACGAGGAACTAATCGTGCTCAGGAACATGCTATGGGAGAATGCTAAATCATCTGTGATTTGTCTCAATGTATATACTTCAGTTGATTAAAAAAGCACATGGTGAATTGATCTTGCAGCTTATAAAAGCAATATTTCAGCTTCGGTGTTTTTTATTCTTTTTCTTTAAAAATCAAATTATCTCCCAAAGCATTTGGACTGAAGTTTATTAACAAGGCAATGCGGCTCCTAATGCGTCGCGGTGCACTCTTGCAGAGGGAGGGAGAGATGGGGCTCTGCCTGTGTACACTGAGCGCACCTTCCGAAGGTGTAAAGGAACTCAAGGCTGCACAGCTGAGCAGTTGCGGGAGAAAGAAAATGGTTCCTTTGTCTTTTTTTTTAATGCGACGTTATTAGATTTTTGGCGGG